AGCAGGAGGGCGAGTTCCTCCTGCTTGTTCCCCATGCTTTTGAATTAAAACAGAATCAAAGGCGTTTTAGCTCAAAAGCACACTGCCGTCCCTTTCTCAGCACTGACGTGCATGTCACTGTTTATACACATGCATGCTACAGAGTGCTGGGCACATCAGCTGGCATGCAGAGCAGACTCAATTAATTGAGTCTGGTGCATTGGAGCAGGCAAATGTATGTGTATAAGTGCCCGGAGGTACTAGCTTTAATGCGCATTAATTAAAGTGTGTTAATGCACGTGCCCAGAGAGTAGAAGAATGGGCTATTTATACCTGCAGGGCAGCAATAGGATTCCCTTGTATTAGCAGAACAGTATTTATTATTCTAAAGCCTTAGTTAAGAATGTGGCCTCGATGCACTTTATGCTCCACAAACAAAATACAACATGCCCCTGCTACAACCAATATGCTGTAGGCTATTATGATCCCTTCTTAAATGCGCCCTTGAAATGGTAAGATGCATCAGTTCCGGAGAAGTGTTTCGGTGCAGCTGCCATGTCTAAAAACGATACATCTTTTTGGTTGTTGTGAAGCTTTCCCAAATTAGGTCATCCTGTGAACTGACCTCTACCTTCCACGTATTTCTTGACATCATGATTAAGTCTTGACCTTCAAGTAAATACCTTGAAACTATGTGGAAAGCAAATTCTGGAGTCAAAAGTTACCCTTGGAGAGCACTATGCTATGGCAGGGAATGAGAGAGGTTTCCTGAAGACAGGCAGGGCCTAACCATATAAGACTCTTCCATTACTACTCAGTGAAATGAATACCACTGACTGGCACTGCAGTGCTCAGAGTGAAAAACCCAACTCCTGTCAAAGAGTAGGAAGCATGCTCTAGCAGCAGGGGTCAACCTTTTTGGTAGACGTACTACGAAGTAAGTTCCAGCCTTTCCTGAAGTGCCACTCCCATCTCCTCCCCCTACCTGATCTGCCACTTTTCTGCTCCCCACCTGTTCTCCATGCTCAATTTGCTGCTCTGCTTTCCGCTCCCTGCCCTCCCTGATCTGCTGCCTGCTACATGCAAAGACTGCCTGTGCCATGGGTTGGTCACACCTGGTGTTAGAAAATTAAAGCCAGGTGGATTTGGTTCTCTTTTTAACTTGCTAAGCACAGTGAAGTCCTGTCCTGTGGTGGGGGAATCCCAAGTGCAGTGCACACAAAACCAGGACAAAAACACACCCAAAAACTCTAAAAAATTTTTAAAATACCTCTAAGTTTCTAGCTCTTATTAAAAATATGTTGCTGATCATATGACCTTCAGATAAACTAATGCAGTGTTTTGTATGGACAGGTACTAATCCTGTGTTTGCTGGTAAATCCTGAAGTACAAGAACAATGGGGCTGCATGGTGATAAGGGAGGGGAGATTGTTAAAGCGCACAAGGACTGTCACAAAGATTTTTATGAAGCCCTCCAACTAACTTTGATCAATTTATGCCATATGACTCAGGAACATGCTTCATGACATACACTTGGCTGCTGTTCTACAAGAAAGGAGGTAATGATACCAATTTGTAGATGGGGAAGTGGGGGTTGGCTGGAAGAATATGGCTCTCTTAATTCCTATATTGTCATCACTCAAAACAAGCTGCTCTTGAATGGTGAGTTTGGGGAGAACTGTGACAAGACTAACTGTCAAAGGTCAGCTTCACATCACTAAAGCATGTTCCTACCCTGTCCTTTGACTGAAGAAGTAGCCTTCGGGGCTTAGAAGGCCCAGTGATGTTGCACACAGACAATAAATGCAGCAAAAGGCGTTTCCTGATTTCTTTTTGGGTGGAAAAGATCCGCCTAGGGCTCACATTACAACCAGCCTAAACACGTAGGAAAATACCCACGGTAATCAGCTTACAAGTGTGCCTTGTTTTAAAGGCTCATTCAACTGAAGGTGACTGCAGAGATTTTGCTCAAGTGAGCACTTGCCAAATGATCAGAAAAAACCCAAAAGCTTCTGATAACTTAATCAACACAGTCAGTTAAGCCTAATAATTCCTTGGATCTTGACTGAAAGACAGGGCTTCCTCAGACATGCAGGTGCACTGGTTTCTCCACCAGAATGAACAAGGTTGTGTAAACAGGTTTCGAATGAAGTGATTCTTTCAGGCCATTGTTCGTGGTGGCTGACTTCACCCACTCAGGAAGAGAAAGAAGGAACCCAAGCAGCAGAATTTGAAGGGAAGTAGTGCTCCTTATTGCTTTAAACAATGGATGTAACTTTTCCTTGGGGGATTCCCATCTCTCCATCACTGCAGTTCACATTAATTGGACTAAGGCACTGCAGGAAAAAAACCCCCAAACACTTGGACTCATATCAGAGGTCTTCCCCTTTTGCTACTGCTCGGTAGATGGATGCTCAAGAGTTCTTGCTTTTGCAAGATCAGTCCCTTAGCCTCCATCTTCCCATGTAAGGAGATTTGTCTGGATCTTACACCAGAGGCTCAAACGCATACCTGATATAATATCAGGAGTGAATATGGTTCTGGGTGGGCGCATCTTTCCCTGCCTGTTCAACTGTGGAATCAGTTAAAAGAAACTTGGCTCCCATGCACTGCTGTAAACAAGCTGCACTTTTTTTGTTCTAAACAAACAAGACACTTCTCCATTTGCTGTGTTCAAGGGGAGGAAAAAAAAAAAATCAAGTTTATTCCTTTTATTGCTATGATGGATGAAGATTTATAAAATGGATTTTGCTTGTTTTTATAACAATAAGCCAAATAGCATCTGTCCTTGAAAATGCTGGGAACTGGAGGACTAGCAACATGGTGTTAGAAAAGGCAAACTGGGGAAGAAGGCAAAAAGACGCTTACTTAGAAATATATGGGACATTTTTGGAATTTGCTTTAAAAACAGCAACAAAAAACCCCTTTTCCTTCCCCTAAACCAGAAAGCTTGAGAAATTCTTTTGAATACTGAAGGTAAGTGCAAGTTCTAGGAGCTAACAGTTAGGAATAAAATTGGAATAAATTCAAAATCTAAAGGCAGAGACTTAAAAAAAAGAGAGAGTACTCAATACAGTACTCCTGATGTCCAGCAAAACATTTAAAAAACCCAGGGCAGCTTGGCTTACTAGACAGAGCACTGGACCAAGACTCAAGAGAAGCGGGGTCTATGCCCGACTACCACCGTGTTGCTGGGTGATCGTGGGGTAAGTCATCTGGCGTGCCCCTCTCCCTCCTCCCCATGCCTCTTTTCCCCTTCTCTCAAAAGGAAGACTTGGAGAGCCACTGATGAAAAAACACTGCATATGAGTGAGGTTAATGTAGCCTCCTACTAAGTGCCAAATCGTTTCTCGGAAATGAAGCAAGCTGCTTCTCAATCCAGTAATTAGCAGTTGAGACCCAACTTCCCTTATGAGCCTGCAAGATGGATACAGTTTATATAATTAAAAGTGGCACCATTTCCATGGTGACCACACCCTGAGTGGGAAGCATTTATGCCTCGTGTTTTTCCAACTCGAGAAGGTGCCAGTTTTGCAGGGAGATACTGGGGCTGGCTGCCATTTTCATGGGAAGATTGTGGTAGGCCCTCCCACACCTCTGGCCAAGGGGCCCCGGTGGCCCCGCTCCTTGCCACTGACTGGTTGCAATTTCTATGAAATCTGCAAAATTGCAATTTTAGTAGGTCCCAATTTATGATGGATTATTTCTTACACAACAGGTAGAGTTAACTGGTAGCCAGAACTGGAGCCAAGTGCATACAGAACCCAAATCAAGTAACAACACGATAAAGCTGGCTCTTGCTACTGGCAGGTATTGGGTGCCAAGGCAAATAGCCAAATGATCATCCCTCATCCCCCAAAGGGGTTGCATAAGTAGCTTCATGTTCCCCACCACATCCAGTACTGTACCCAAGGGGTTTGGTGATAAGTTAGATATGGTGGGCTGGAGCAAAGGAAATGTTTCAACCAGGTCTGGGCTGGTAGAATCTGAGAATATGGACTCCCCATTCATCACTTTTCTTCCCAGAGCAAGCAACCATCAGGGTAGTAGTCAGCCTTGACGACTGCTTCCATAAATACTGCTATACAGCACGTGTTTATTTTGGCTGACCCTGCAAACAAGAAAAAGGGCCAGAATGCGGAAAAATAAGTGTGGTAATTGTGGCAGGACAGCAGGGGATGCTCCTGCATTGAGCCACCCACCTCACTGCACCCAACCACCTTCCAGGCTCTGCCTGCCTCCCTGGGGGCACCTCACATCTGGCTGACCCCCTTCCTGGGG